AAATATTGAAAAAACTCAATTTTCTATGTATACGCGTTGTTGTACATGTGTGCATATGTATGTGTGTCTGCGTATATGTGTTTGAAACATCGCGTGTTCGTACAGTACGAACATATGTATTGAAGCTTTTTCATACGTTAATCGCGTCTAATACACATGTGCGACGTATGTGTGATCACGAATTTTAACTGTCAAACTTCATTTCATTATTTAAATTGTTTAATTTGAAAAAATTTCTGGAAAAATATTAAAAATAAGATTTTAATTTCATTTTTTTACAGAATCCCACCTCATCATACGTGAAAATGGCAATAAAAAATCCAATTTCCATCAGAAATCATCAAAACCGAGATATAATACGAAGAAATAAAAAGAATAATTGGAAAAAAAAAATCCAAAATATGGGTTGAAAACATTATGTTTTGAACTCGCGACCCACAGTTTACTAAACTGAGACTGTTGGGGGGAGAGTCTAAACCTTACACGCTAACAACCCACTGATGAAAAGTTGGTGAAATTACCACTCAAATGTCCGCATATGAGTATATGCATAAAATAACAAGCATAAGTTGAAGTAATTGAAACATTTCAATCGTTACATTTTGAGTAGTAATTCTTCCAACAAATGTATATATAATCGTTGGCGTTTGTTGCGTGTTTGTAGTATGTAATTTAGATTTAAAATGTAAAAGTAGACATAACATTTGAAAAAAATTATTGAAAACTCTATTATGTTAAAAAGAAAATCGAACACCAAATTTTCAGTCTACCAGACTGAGACATTGAATGGCGAGTCTAAAACTTACACGCTAACGACCCACTGGCAAAAGGTTGGCAAAATTACCACTCAAATGAAACGCATAAAATAACAAGCATAAGTTGAAATAATTGAAAAATAGATATAGTTAAAATCGGAATAAAATTATTAAAGTGTTAAAAATTATATATTGAGTTTTATTAAAAATTTCTTAAAAAACAATCAATTTCATTCATTTCAATTCTTTTAACTATATTTTAACTATTAGCTGGGACGCAAGTTTTTTCGGATCATCACTGCTCTCAACTGCTCAAATATTTCCAAATAAAAAAATAAATCTATTTGAAATAATAATTTTCAATCTCATTCTAATGAAATGTTGAATTAATATCTTTGAAATGAAGACATTCTCACTTGTCGCTGGTGATTTTTCTTTCACAAGTAATTTTCATATATGACTGTGAATGGCAACCAATTCGTATTCGTAGTAGTATCAAGCATGAACTTACAACATGAATTAACTCAAAGAATGTGTGAATTACTTTCATTTAGAGTGTTATACTTACGTAAATACATTGAAAATGTCACCTATAGAAATCAAATGAGCGAATTTTCAATTTTATTTTTTATTTATTTATTATACATTTTTTTTAAAAACGAAGACTTAGTGTTATATCACATTTCTGATGTGGATATTCCACGTAGGCTTATGTTCAATTTTTGATAATATGTTTTTGTTGTTGTTGTTGGGTTTTTTCCATTTTTTATTTCTAATTTTTCTTTGTAGCTATGCACAAAATATTTTCTTTCTTCAATTTTCTCTCAATAAAACTGTTCCTTTTGAATTCTACTCAAAAAAAAAAAAATCTGTTTGATTTTATGTAAATTCTTCTTTAAAATAATATAAGTATCGAATAAATAAATTTTAACTCCTACTTTTACATCTGCTTTATATTTTCATCATTTCAAGATCTTTGATTCGATTTGATTTATTTCGATTTCACTGCAATCATTGCATATTGATTTATCTGTAGGTAACTGTTTATGTCTTGGCTATTTATAATTTGTCATTTTTTGGGATTTAGCCGGAATAAATTATAAATTGCTAAGATATTGTTATTTGTGCGTCACAAAATGATAATGGTAAATAGCTTAGCATCGTTTTGAAATCAACTTAAAATGATCGTTACAATTTGCACGGATTGATATTCATTTGAACGAGCCAAATTTTTTCCGGTGAGATATACAACTAATAACTGTTACTTTGTTGTGGAAAATCAGTTGAGGAACTTTGTACTAAATCCATCTTGCGTCTTTTATGTGCTTCATTTCTATCGCATTCATTTGCATGTTCAATGTTCATGGCTGATTTCTTCTATTCATCAGTCTTTATCCATAAATTTATTGTTTTGAGTCTAACATAATAATTAGCATATCAGATTCTTGGTTGGTTTGTTTTTGTTTTTGTTTTTCTTTAAAGCAACTTGTTCAATTAGATTGAAATGTGTATGATTTGTAAAAAAAACCCTTTTACATTGTTTCTTCTTCTTTTGCCCACGAGGAAAATAAGTTATAATATTTAAAAAAAAAATAAAATATTAATATTACTGTGGGATTTAGTTAACATGGTTCTGTCTGCAAAAGTATAAATAATTTTTTCTTCACAGAAACCTCAAACTGACCATTATTTCACTTGTTATTAGCTTTTCCTTCTCTTTCATTTCGTTTAAATCATATATTAGAAGATCAAAGTCTCCAAGGATCGAAGATGCTTTTGAAAAATTGATTGATCGAAAATCAATGCAAATTTTAACTAAGTAAGACACTTTTGCCGTTTTTTTTTTCTTCTTCTCTTTATAAAACAGAAAGTTTTCGTTCAGTTCGTCTATTAGATCAGCTACTTAAGTTTCGGCACAAGATCACACAAATACGTGTGATACATTGTGTTAAGATTCTTTTATTTTTCACAGTTTAAACCACTTTCGATGCAAACTCAATACATTAGATCTTCACTGTGATGGATCAATGTTTTCTTATCTTCTTTTTTGCCAGCCTCTGCTTGTAACACCTTTGGATCGAAACATGGCTGTTCAAATGAAAAAGGAAATAAAAATGTAATTTAATAACCAGTTAATTGAAAAAAATCGCTTGAAAGCACTTACCGTATCGCAAATGTTCATGTTACAGCAATTTTCAATTGTAATTTCGCATTGTTCTGTGCTTGGACGACTCGTTAATGGTGTTGGTGTTACATTTTTCCGCACCACATATGTCTTTTTTATTCTGGGCCGTAAAGGCTTATACACATGTCGAATGGTTTTCACAATGACATAAACTAACGCTAAAGATATAACAACGCTACATGATACGAAAATAGCGGTTTTATTAATCGTTGATTCTTCGCATGTATTTTCGTGAAAATATGATGGTAGTGCAAAACTTCCATTTTTACTGCAACTGTTTGATGAAGAGAAGAAAAAAACGATTAGATTTTAGCACCGGTCCATATCAAATTTTCAATTTAAATTTCTTACTTGTTGCATAATGTGTCCATGTCAACGCCTTTATAGCCGGTGTCTTCTTTGTTACAGAAACGCGTGCACATTTCTTTAATGTCCATATTTTCACAACGATTTCCATAAAATGACGGTTGACAATGACAATTTGGCGCACCATTTTCGAACGTACAACTACCTCCATGCAGACAATGATTATAGCATCGATCGATCTCACAACGATCGCCGGTAAATCCTTCGTAGCATATGCATTGGGTATGTCCATTTGAGGTCACATTACAATCACCTTGGACACAATAATTATGGCAAATTGGTAAAGTTGGCAACGGTATGGATGCTTCTGTTGTTGTGCTTGTAGTTGTTGAATGAACCGTATTTTTTACTATCTGATCAATCACTGTTTTGCACTCGGGATTATTTGCTTGAGTTTGCATAAAATGATTTCGACGTATGATTCCTTTTGGACTGTTCCACAGTGAAAAGTTTTTAATTCGGTTTAGTTCCTTTTCATCGTCGATTGTGGTATTTTTTGCAACACTAAAAACAGCATTATCTTGAGTATCAGTCCAATAAATATGCGATTCATCAACAGTCACATCGAATGGCGCTTGAAACATATTTTTTACAATAACTTTACGATCCGTACCTGGGATTAATCAGAAAGAAAAAAATGGAAATAAATCAATACGTAATGAAACAGAATGGAAAATGAAATTGTATAAAAGATAGATCCGTACCATCGAGATTGGCACTTTCGATAGCAAAATGTTCACCCATAAGATCATCCACCCAAAAAATGCGTCGCGAAAATTGATCGACAACAATTCCACGTGGCATATCAAGACCTTCAATAATTGTTTCAACTTTGCTTCCATCCAATGAAACTCTACCGATCGTTGAATTTGTTCTATCTACACTTGTCCAATACAATTTTCGGCGGCACACATCGATCGCAATACCTTGTGGCTTTTTTAAATCTTTTATAAAGATGGACGGCTCTTGTCTATTGTTAAGATTCATTCGATAAATTATTCCATTTTCTGCATCCGACCAGTAGAGTGCTCGATTAAGTGGATCCAATGCGATTCCTTCTACCTTTTCATTTTTTATTTTTTTAACAATCGCTTCCGTTTCATGGTTATCGGTTGGTGATAATTTTAATGAAAATATTGTGCTAGTTTCATGTGCCTGGTCATTGAAGTAGAGTATTTCTTCAATTTCATCGAATGCAATAGCTGATAATTTATCGAATTGATGAGCGGCTGATGTTACATTCTGCCATTCAGATGTGTAAAAATTTATACGTCCTTTTGTACTAACGACAAATTCTGAAATCGAAAGAAAAATCGAAATAATTAAAAAAATGAATAAAATTTTTACATGTAAATTACAAAGTCAAAATGAAAACTTGATCAAGTTTCCTCATCACGAACCACGGAAACTATGGCTTTAGTCGATAGCATGACAAAGCAAACGTAGATATAGATTGTTCGATTGATAATTTTCTTTGTCTTTATCTTGAAGTGAGTGTGTATGTCAATTCAATCAAAATTTATTACTGTCTCCAATATAAATCACGATCCACATTTTACAATAATAAAAAAAAGTGAACGATTTATGGGCCGATGCTTGAAGAGTTACAAAGATGTATTAAAAAAACCAGTTGTAATTGAATTGAAAAATTGATTGAGATACAATTAATTTAAATCATAAGTGTCGAACAGTGTTCACATGAAATGTTTTAGCCGTTGATCACATCGGTTTGATTATGTATTGTCATTGAGGATTGAAATAGTTTCCATATAAGCATTTCAATTTGATTTGGGTCAAATGCATTCGTTTTTAAATGTACACGTACAGTGCAACCGTTTAATAAACTCTATTTAAAGTTGGTGTTTCGTTTTATTGATGATAAATAATCGTGAAAATGGCATCGAAAGTCAAGGAATTGTTAACTAGAATGAGTGCGTTTGACCGCTTGAGAGTTCATTTGTTTTTTCTTCTTATTGGTATTATTCCGATATATGCAAACAAACAGTGACAGTCATCATGATTTATTTTCAAATCCAAAAACAAACGAACGAAACAACCGTAGACGATTACTAATTAACAGCAACATTGCAAACCGTGTATTTCTTTAATTTCGTTTAACAAAAACGTACATCAGAAATAAACTAATAATTGAGTGTCTTATTAAACCAGCAATGGAAAACATTGAAACACAATACATTGCGGTATTCTTCCTTACTAATGATTTTAGGCATTGCAATATAACAACAACAGAAAAAATAAATATGCCAAAGTATCATGGTTTGAGTCACGTACACCATTTATGCATTTGTACTGAGTTAATGAGGTCCAAAAATATTTGTTACTTTCTTTTTTATGTTGCCTTTTTTTGTGTTGAATGGCCGATTTATGTATTTAAACAAGGTGGCAAAAGTCATTTATAAAATGTAAGAGATTGCTTCAAATGTATACAAATAGAATCATACAACTTATATGCGAGAGGTGGATCTATGATATTGTGTGTCCTTCGCGATTTATATAAAAAGCAAGATTGCACTGAAACCAATGAGTAACCAATTCAAATTATTATGAGAGAAAAAGAATATTCCACAAGCTCATTATTGCAATTATTCATTTTCCTGATTATTAAATGTTTGTAGCTGTTGTCTTGACTTAACCATATTAACCAGACTTTTAATGGCGATACAAAAATATGAATGTCAAACGATTGGTTTTGTGACCCATAGAATTGCAATTTCAAGTTTGTCTTATTAAGTTAGTTTTCGCTGTTTTATTCGTTTGTTTTTCTTTCAACCGATGAATAAATACAGCGATTAAGTTAAACCAAGGTCTTTTGCATGCATGATAGCATTTCATTAACTGTTGATTTGAAGAGTGCTTCCATTTAACTACCGGCACTTATGAAAACCACTTGATTTGCTTGACTTTTTTCTCGGATATCTCCAAAATCAATTATCGCTAACAGCCATTTATACCTTTATTTTGTTTAAAAAAAATTTGGCTAGTAAATACATGATATGATTCATATATTTTCTATCAACTACCTTTGAAAAAAAAAAAAAAAACAATTTCCTGAAATTATCGTGTACTAAAAAATGTCGTGGCCTTTTCAATATTTTGTTTTTAAATTATGCATAGCAACATACAAATTTATCAATAAAATGAAAACGTTTGACATTCTTAAAGTTTTTTTTTGTGTTTTTTTCATAAAATCAACCGTAATGAGTGACCAATAGACCCGATGATGATGATAATTCTATTCATATTTTCATTTATCTCTATTTTTTTGTAAATATGATTACTTTTCTACGCAATAGAAATTCGCGTCAGCGAGCTATGGAACTTAACAGTGAAGTACAATGTTGACAAACAAAAATGTAAGTTTTGGAGGAAAAAACGCATCTACGTAATATTTTGTATATCTCTGATCACACACAGTTTCCAGCTGAGTAGTTTGCGTTACAGAGAAATCTTATTATTGGTAATTTTTCAAAAACCAGAAATGTTCATTGTTAATGGGAATTTCTAGTTCGTAATTATGGGCTAGTAACGAATGAATATGGCTTGTGCTGAAAGATTTTCATATTAAATGTAAAATTTATCGTGTTTTCATTTCTGCGTTTATTTATTTATTTGATTATCATTTTTATGTCGAAATGCAATCAAGTGAATGCTATTGCTTTTTTTTATGATAAAATAAAATTCCAATTTGATCAGCAACACACTTTTGGAAATTGATGAGAAAAATTATTATAGTTGAACGCACGTGTTTTATACGTCATAAGCAAAGATGTTGGCACTCGTGACGTCGATATTGAAACCAACTCGAAAAAACCGAGTCAATGAAACGGGTTTCGAACCGTATGCATATGTATATACGTGCGTAAGTTGTGAATTGACTTTCCGCTGTATTGTGAATTGGAACGAATGTCCTTACGTCTGTTCAACCAAAGATACATTGTCATGACATATTTGCACATTTTTTGAAAATCCAATTCAGTATATTAATGTTCTGTAATTGGTTTACAAAATATACCAGTAAGATAACTTGTATATACTCATGGAGGATTCGGCTATAATGAACAGACAACGGTTCGTTTATTGATTGAATGACAGACAATACGTGAAACGAACATTTTTTTTAAATGCCATAACAATTTTGATTGCGTGTCATATATTTGCGATACTCATTGGATGTTTCCATGCCGAAATAAAATGCTTATTTAAGACTGTTCTATTGAAAACAGTATAAAGATATATATTACAAATTAATTGTATATAACAAGCCGAAACGAACGAAAAGAAAGTGAAAACAGCGAGTCGCCGACATCGAAAAATCATTTACCAATCTACATATATATATACAATGTATAAATCGTTGCAAATATATACGGAGCAATGAATGTTCAACGAATGCGTGAAGAATTAGACGGCGATGTTCTGCGCTGTTCTAGCAATTTTCACAGTGGCTACGTGACTGAAACTATTCAATGAATGGCGAAACGCAGTGTACTTTTATTTTTCGCTGTGGTTTGAATTTCATCGTTGCATTGTATAACTTGTATGTGACACGTGATTTATGTATGAAAATGGTTAGAATATGTGGATGAAACCTCCAAAAGTTTTGTTATTCAGCGGCTTTAGAATGATCAAACAACGCGAAGCGGCAGATATGACACTTGTATCGGCTAATATAATATGAGAAAAATGCCGAACGTTAACTTTTGCATCAAAGCCCATATTTAGTCATACAAGAATTTGCATGATATAAATTATGTAAGGATATGTGTGCTTAAAATATTTTTCGCCGAAATGCAAGCAAAATAAATGGAGTTAAGTAATTCGCACACAAAACAGTAGAAGAAAAATTCCACGAAATATTTTGAAAAGTAAGCGCCAAATTTTCCTTGAACATTTATAAATATCGTGCATATCAGTTTTGAATGTGACCGACGAAAGAAAATTATTAGCAGATACTTTATCTGATATGTGTAAATGATGCAGAAATTATGTATCAGGTCTACGATTCGGATATCACATCACTCACTACAAAATAACCGCTCATCGCTCCTCGACAACAATCGTAAACATATTATGATCAGTGAAACTCTATCTCTTTTTCTCGACCTCTCTTTATATTTCTGTCTCGATTGCTATTCATCGTATATTTTCTATTTTCTTTTACACACACTTACCCCATGATGACATAACAGGTTCACTGAATAAAACTACGAAAAGTCCTAATATTAAGTAACAACTGCACATTGTTCTGTTCTCAAATTTTCGTTTTCTTCGAAAAATGTAACAAAATTTTGTTACCGCACTATTTTTCGTTGGATTTTTTTCTCCAATTTTTTTTGAAATAGTAATCAATTCAATTTTAATGCATGTAGATTTGAATCAGCACATTTTTTTAATAATTTATCATATTTTAGTGAATTTTCTTAAAACAATTTTCACGTCAATTCGTTTTTCTTTGGGTTGTCAAAGAGTGATTGAATTAACTTTAACAATTTAGGTTCAACAAGAGCTTACGCAAAGTAAGAAATAAACAAAAATAAAAAAAAGTGTATATACAAATAAAACTAAAATGAACTCAAATCGAAAGAGTTTTTAAGAAAGAAATCGGCAATGATTGTCTTCGCTCTTTCTATAAGCACACCTTTGAGAGACGAATGATTAAATTCAACTGATTAGCGCATGCATGCACAACCGACACTGACACATGACATACGGCCACACAGACAAGTTACACATGTATATGCTTACAAGTGTACGATTGTGTGTTTCGTTTTGACATGAGACTCGTTCGACCGCGTTTGTGCTGCTACAATTTTTGACAGTTGCGACCTACCTTTCCATATGGAAAATTTCCGTTGCGATGAAATTTTTTTAACACCAAATGAACAAATAAAACGACAATTTTAATTTTCGCATTTTTTTTTATACAATATCAAATTTACAGTTTTATTTTAAATGAATTTTCCTTTGTTTTATTTCGTAAAAAATACTGTTCATATGGAGTTTTAGAGAATTTTTCATCTATGCTAAATTGTAGGCAAAATAAAAAAAAAAATTTGGTACTCATTGTTGTAAGACTGGATTTGGTAGAGTGTAGAAAGGTTTTATTGATAAATCTATGCCCGGTCGATGTGCAATTAAATAAATAATCCATTGACTTTTTCCAAGCGTCTAAAATGAATAAATATTAAAAAGTATGAAGAAAGATCCACATTTGATTGTGTTTATTTATAACATGTATTTTGGTTGAACGGGGAAAAGAGGGGCGTTTGTTAAACTTTGGCGTTGAATATACTCAACAAAAACAAAACAAAACATAAAAAAATACTGTACACATTTGAAATTTTATGGATTTGGGTGGACCGCAACAATACTAAACAATACGAATGGTGAATGTTACTTATGATTTTGACTGATAATATCTTAAACGAAAAATGTGACAATCACTTCAAAGAAAAAAACCAAATATTATGTCAAAATCGCTTGAGTTCTCTACATTTGTTTTTATTTTAAATTAAGATCAAAAAAATTAGAACAGTTGATAAATATTTTTGTTTACCTCTGTGAGGAAATTGTTCATTTTTTTTTTTTAAATATTGTGACTCTTTTTTCTTTACAAGGATCAATATAGTTGGCTATTTGTAGGTAACAATATCAATATATTACATTTTGGGATCGACCATAGCCCAAATTCTCTCTTATTTATTAAATACGTTATTTAAAACTAAAAATAATGGAGGAAAATTCTTTGAATCAAAACAATGTCTTCACTTCGATCGATAAATACGAATCGAAATTTCAATTCGTTATATTCATATTAAATGTAACATGGTATTTTATGTTTTTGTTCAAGTGGTTTTTTATACACAGAAAAAAAAATTGCAATATGTTCCAGTTGGAACTGTTACATTGAGGCTGCAAACGATTTCATTAAAATATATCGATTCAATCTCAATCAGTAAGATTTCTAATCTAATTTTGTATGGCGATAACCACATTTTGCTGTTTTTTTTTGTCATATCCCAAATGGTTAAATAGCGGACTTACACGGAGTATGAGCGGAGCTGTGCGGAGATAGACGAAAACAGCATACAACGGATGAGAGTAAATCGGATGAAAGTAAATTAGTGTGCGCGCAATGGTTACTATGCGTACGCATATTCTTAATACAATTCTCGTCTATCTCCGCACAGCTCCGTTCATACTCCGTGTAAGTCCGCAATTCAACCATTTGGGATAATTAGTGTTTATACGTTGTTTGTTTCTCTATTTTTTTTTTTTTGGTTATTATACATAATTATGCACAATTTGATAAACAAAATAATTTGAAAGAATCGCTCCCGTATTTGTGATTGTTAAAATTGTAATTGTAATTCAGGAAATAGTATGATTTAAAAAAAAGCAAAAAGAAAATGTATATAAAATATGGATATCTCAAAACCAATAAGCAAATAAAACAAGTATACATATTCTGAAATCAATATCGATGACAATTTTACAGCAAACCAACAAATTACAAATATATTGTTTGCCATGTAAATTATGCACGATATGGATTCCAGACAATTGAATATTCTAAGAAAAAAATATTTAATGCTGCTGACGATATGGGAAAACCATACGAAAACGAATCAAAATCAGTGAGCAAAATTAAACCTGTGAATGACACGATGCGACAACCATCGAAATACGCTTCGTACTCGATTGCAAAACCAACCGAAAATTCCGCTAACAAATGTAATTTTCGTACACCAATTTTTGATATGATCTAAAAGAAACAGTGGAAAATAATGACTCAACATTAATCACCATAAATTCAATAAAGTTTTGTTATTTCGGCATTAAATGATAGCATTATTCACATGAATCGCGAATGGAACGAAACGTTTGGAGTATTTATCGAAATCTCTTGGGATCCGAGAAATATTAAGGGTGAACGGAAATAGAAAGGTGTAGTATTAACGACGATCCATGCAATAATTTAAGCAATTAAATTCAAATTCTTACCGAGTAATGTATATGGAGGGTGCCCATCGTTGATATACTGCATCGCATTTGTTGTAAACAAAATGAATATAATTATTATCAAAATTGAATATTTAAAATGCATAAAATGAGCATGAGAAAATAAAATAATACCGTGACATAAGTGAATCCGTCTTTACAATAGTCTTTGATTGAATAATAATACGGCAGAAATGTGTGCATACGAAACCTAAAAAATCCAGATTGAAATATACCATAATAAGGTTTGAATGTCAATTCACTTGTTGCATCGCATTGCGTTCAATGAAATGCATTTATGTGTATCGTGAATTTTATTCGTTTATCGGACTATCCGTTCAAATTCCGAACAATTTATATTCGCTGCAAACACGGCATTGTTATGAGAAACATATCATGGAAACTTATTGCGAATAGAAAAACAAAAAAATTTGGGTTTGCCATTCGGGAAAAAAATTGACAAAAACGTAGAAATGCAAACTTATTTACTTCCACAATATTATTCACTTTTCCCTGTCTTCTTCATTATTTCTACTAAACTACTAATCGAGATTTTTTTTGTGAAAAATTAACGAAAATAAGAGACACATTTTGTGTGGTCATCATTGTTTTGGAATTTGAAAAAATAGTCCGAAATTTTATCAGCTCAATTCATTTATGGTATTACCTTCTCTTTTCATAAAATAAAATGGCAGGTTGGTTAGTAGTTAAAACATGTAAAAATATCGCCTTGACTTTTGTCTTTTCCGATGTTGTCAAATAGTTTACAAGTGCGTCAAGTAATAAGGACCCAATACCATTACGACGGTACTTTTTATGAACGCCCAGCGATAAAATGTAGCCGACGTCACATTCTTTTCCCATTGATTCAGGTAAAATGTCACGATCCTGCAAAAACAAAAGAGAAACCAATTAAAAATCGATTAAAATTCGAAACGAATGCGTCTGCAAATAAATTGAATAATTACTTCTTTGTTAAGGCGAGTATATGGTTTAATTTCGGCCACAATTAGTCCAATAATGGTAAGATTGTAAACGGCGGCAAGTGCAAAGAACCGAGTGCTCGATGTTATGTCTTCATACCATGAAAATGGATAATCGATTGGAAACCAATCTTGACAGAGGGTGCGAACCTCTTCCAAATCTTCTGGGCACAAAAAACGAAGTTGAACATCGCTCGTCAAACAAAGTGGAACAGATGTAGACTGCTGACCGGTGCCACCGTACAGGTTATTTGATTTGCTGTTGTTATCATTTTCTTTGGAGTTTTGATGGTACCTATATTACATGTGAATGAAAATAAAAATCAGACGAACCAAACAATTGTTTTAATTACTAAAATGTAAATAACAAATATGATGTTTATTCTGGGCACATCATATGGTCAACAAACGTTTAGTGGACTGTGCATGTGTGATGGAATCAGCAACAACAATTACCAATTCATTGATAGACATGAATCGATACATTTTCTATATGTGCTTGTCATATTCAAAATATGGATAGATGCACATATGTGAAATGTGTATATTCAGCTCATTAATTTTTTTTTTATTTACATTCACATCAAGCAGTCATGCACTTTGTTCGTTCTGATGACTACATAAAACCGTGTAAATTCGGGAAAATTAACGAAAATCAATTAGAAAATAATGATAATTACCATGTAAATTGTGCCATAATCTATGTATACAATGTGTTAATATTCTTTATAAATAGTAATAATACTTCGGTGACGGAATTATGCATCTATTTATTCTGTTTATTAATTTCGGTTATTAAATTATATAATCAATTTAAATTACACACGGAATAGCGACCGTTCTTTGTAATTTAAAAGAAACGATCACAAAAGCATCAAAATCATGGTTTTACTTGTGTTGCTATGTTTATTCGCTACAATTTACATATCTTAATAGAACATTATTGGTCGCGTCAATGTTCAAATATAATTTAACAAAAATAATATTTATATATATCGTTTTAAATGATTTCGTTTTCGTTCACTTTTCTTTGATTAGAAAATGTTCTTTGGATTTAATTTCAATTGATTTTGGCTTTTGTTTTTTTTTTATTAATGGTTCAATTTATCACTGTTAATGGAAAGAAACGAATCACGAACGAAAAAAAACTACATTCGCAAAATAGAAACCACTCTAAGTATTCAAGCGAACAATAAAGCTCATAGTTGTCACTGTAAACTCGTAGGAAATTCACAGCATAAAATAATAACTTGATCTATATGAAATATGTGTTGTTTCAATCCACTCGTAAAAATAAATAAAAGCAATTTTTCCTGGTGCCAAAGAACAACAATAATTATGACAGCTGATTGGTGAGCGAGCGGTTCTGTAGTAGATACGATGGCATATGTATTGCACATGAACGTGTAAAACGGTTTCAACCGTTTCCGTGTAGTATTCACAGTGTTGCGCATGTATTTGTGTACCGATTGACCGTAGCAAATGTCAACTTCAAACACATTAATTACGTTCTAAACTTGTTGTATTAAAACAATTAAAGCTATTGCACACGCAAATTTCTGTTTTTTTTTGTCATCTACTATTTTATTTAATATAAAAATATATATATATATATGAATTGATTGCAATAAAACGGTTCAAAAATCATTTCTAACATCTAAATCAATTCGAACCGATTAATTTTGCTATGAGTGTGATTTTATCAATGTTAACATGTCAAACTAGTAAAATATTGCAATTAATGATTACAAGCGGAACTTCAAATTCAAGTGTATTAAATCAATCGATTCGGATCATTTTGAATTTATAGAGAGTATACCTTTCAAAATGCCTGTCTCAACTGTACGTTGTAATTTATATGAAGATTTTTTTTGTTCAAATTTATTGTCGTATTTGTCGTGTATCAATAAATAAAATGTGTTGTGTTCACTCAAGGTTGAATTTGCTGTACAAATGTCTGGGCCAGGATGTGCGGAAAAAGTAAAACAGAGCCTAAACAGTGTTGGAACCGTGAATATTGACATACCGAGCGGGCGTGTTGTGGTTGATTCCGACATGCCATGGATCGAAATTCAAGAGAAAATTGAAGAAACCGGACGACGAGCTGTTTTATCCGGCTTTGGCGGTAAGTTTATATTTAACAAAAATGTGACGAAAATAATAATGCTGATTTTTTTTTAAATTGTGTTTATTGATTTACAGAAAAATCAGCAGTAGCTATTGTAAAAGATGTCGATGATAAAATCAAAGGAGTTGTTCGATTTTCATCAACACCAGATGACGCACACACTAGTGGCTGTGTTGTTGACGGTGTCATAGACGGTTTGACACCGGGTCAACATGGACTTCATATTCATGAATGTGGTGATATATCAAATGGATGTGAAAGTCTTGGTAAACATTATAATCCAAGAAACACACGACACGGCAGTCCCGACAATAGCATTGATCAAAGGCATGCGGGAGATTTGGGAAATATTGAAGCCGATAATGGTGGCAGAGCTAAATTTAGATTCGCCGATAAACTGCTCACCGTAAATGAAATTATTGGCAGATCAATTGTGGTTACTGAACGCGCTGACGATTTTGGACTTGGAAATGCGGAAAATTCATTGATCGATGGTGATTCTGGTAAAAGATTAGCGTGTGGCATTATCGCCAGATCGGCCGGAATTTTTCAAAATTTTAAAAAGATTTGTGCTTGTGATGGTGTTACAATATGGGATGAACGTGATAAGCCGGTGGCGGGCGGGAATCGCAGTAGTCAGTAAAGAACCGTATACAACGGTGCAATTGTGAAATAATGGAATTTAATTACTTTAAGTAAACCTACCTCTATCAATGGATTATATATATATAGTTTTCTAAAAACTGAACATTTTTGTTACAAATTGAAGGGTATAAAATAATAAAAATGTGTATTATAAATTACGACTGTTGAATAGAGATTATTTCAAGAGATAATTTAACCTCGAATCAATTTCGCTTTTTAAAATGTTACATTTAACATTTTTAGACCGGATGATTGTGTCAGCATCATTAAATGCACAATGCATGAACCACTGACAGTTTTTGAACGATCTCTATGACGGACTCTATTGACTGCAAATCTGAAATGTTTATTCGTTTTGAATATAAATCCAACGAATTCATGAAACATTTCATTCTGTACTCATACCTCAAACAAATTGATCCGAGATGAAAGTTCACTTTATTTTTGTTTCGGTGGTTTTTTTTTTAATTTTCGTCGAGTGTCAGGTAATATTAATTGTTACAATTATTCTGTAATTAAATACAAAAATCGAGCGTTGTTTTTTCCTTGCCAAGCCTCTAAGATGTCGCACAGATGAGGGACCATCCGAAGAAGATATAAAGAAAATTATTCGAATTTGTATGCACAAAGTGGGTGAAAAGGATACTGACAGTGACTATAGTGACGAGGAGGGCTCAGATTCAGAATATAGCTATGAATCATCGTCAAACAAACCAATGAATCGACCAAATTTCAATAGACCCAACTACCAAAATAATATGCAAAATTATCCATTCGCAATTCCAAACACAAATATGTATAACAATAATAATAATAACAACAACAACTGGAATAGTCCGAACAATATGGCAATGGGTAATAATATAGCGATGGAACATAATCAATTTCGAAATCCACATCAGAATCAGAGCCCTGGTTATAGCAACAGCTACAACAGTAATAAAACAAATTCAAACAACAATCAAACAGAACAAGATCGATCTTGTTTAGTACATTGTTTTTTTCGCGAATTAAAAATGGTAATTTTTTTTTTATCTATGGATATAAATGTGTACTATTCCACCATGTGCTTTCTCATGCAGAATGAACCAAGTTAAACTTTGTAATAGCAGAATTATACTATAAGATAGCTACTAATTAAAGGGTTGTAGCAAAAATACGAGTTTTTTTTTTTAATCGGTGATAGATAAAAATGATTTCTGAACACAAACCAATTATATTAACATTATTCAAATGCGTACATATCCTACTCAATCAATGCAATTTGTTTGAAAATTGGTGGGAAAATGTGTAAGCACGACCAGAGCTGGGCACGAACACCAATGTCCGACTGTGATCGGTCGTTCGTGTGCGTTTTTTTCCTTTTTTGTGATCGGTCGTTCGTTCGTTGAAATTATTAATGGTCGGTCGGTAGTTCGTAAAAATTGAAATGTTCGCTGCGTTCTTTCGTTTGTGCGATCGAACACCGAATACGTCCGCACGTTCGGTTGTTCGGAGAAAAAATCAATATATTTGCTCGAGTTTTGGAAGTATATTTTGAAACGTTTGAAATTCAATAATAATTCAATAGATTTAAACGTTTTAAAATTCACTTCCAAAACTCGAGCAAATATATTGATTTTTTTCTCCGAACAACCGAGCGTGCGGACGTGTTCGGTGTTCGATCGCACAAACGAACGAACGCAGCGAAAATTTCAATTTTTACGAACGATCGACCGACCATTAATAATTTCAACGAACGAACGAACGACCGACCACAAAAAAGTATTATTTCCACTTGCGAACGAACGACCAACTGTTCGTGCCCAGCTCTGAGCACGACATACAACAAACCAAAAATACTTCCCACAATTTTTGGAATCGCTAAATTTGGTATTGAAATTCATAAATTATTTATTGTCAATTTGTTTGGAAATCTCAAAATCAATACAAAAACATCGATTCCAAAAATGTGCAGAATTAAATTTAGATGAATTATTATTATCGGTTTTGGGAATGCGAAGAAAAAAATTGTATTTACGTTTTTTCTAGCATGTTTGTTAAGACTATAGTCTGCTGATAACCATTGATCTAACTATGTTCATTGCTAATATATTCCACCCTCCCAAAAAAAAAACTAGACAAACAATGAGGATTTCCCCGAAAAAAGGAAAATGCTTCAAGTGTTAACGAAAGATATACGCGAGCAAGAAGTTCGTGAATTTTACGTTTCATCGATTCAGGAATGTTTTCATGTGGTCGATAATATGGAAAACTACAATCGCCGAAAAAACAAATGCGAAGTTGCTTTGACCATCGTCACTTGCCTTACTGAGCGCGCCAAAACGAATTGCGAAGATTTCCATAATGGCATGGTGCTATTCTAAAAAAAAAATCACAAAGATGAAGGGACACATTTCTATTCTGGAACGATTCGATTACTTTTACGGACCATACGATGGAGATTAACTAATAATGTTTTCTAAATGTATAAAAATGGATTAAAAGAGACAAATGTTATTGAATTAAAAAAGACATGAGAAGTTATTTTATAATTTTTTATTGCGTTGCCATGTATATGTCTATAAAAATATGAATTAGATAAAATGACCTCATTTATCATGTCAATGTGGGATTGTGGGAAATGTTTTGATTTTAGTTTGAAGGATGTCCCATCTAATTGAACTGAATATGTTTCAGTGCCAAACAAAATTGCTGAATAACAGTGATGTGCAAAAAATTCTTCGGATATCGGTACAAATTAAATTGACGGAGCGGATAATGATTTTTTTGAATCAACATAAGCTTCGATTTGTGCATTTTGTTTGACGAAAAATTAACCTTCGTCAATCTTTCAAAAGTATTTCACTAATTCGCAAAACAATTGTTTTCTAGAGCCTTGCCTCTCAAATTCCTGGTGTCACACCCACACAACAATAGATTGTTGACCAACTTTACACATGCACCAACAGAAACAAGGAAAGACATGAAAACTATATGACCTCTCTTTTCAAGAGGAAGTGATACATTGACGAAATTATTCTCTACAAAATCATGTTTGACATTAAGGCAAGACTCATTTTAAATTTGTACATTCATTGAGATGAACATGAAATTCCTTAAAAATTTATGATTTAAAAAAAAAATTAAAAATGTTGAAAAAAGAACACGCAGAAATATGTAAAGAAAAATGTAAATTTTCGGATTATTTCACCAAAAATATCGATTCTCGCGTATTTTGCTTTCGCCCAATCTTATTGGGTCATCAGGTATTTTTTTTTGTGCATATTTTCTTTCGGCATGGTTTTTGGTATGATGATAGGCTTGGACGGCGAAAGTTTTTTTTTTCACCATCATGTAGATTCACAAATTCTGTCGTAGAAGATGACACACGACTCAACAGCTCTTTAAAATTTTGCTTGTATTTCATGATCGTATTCATATGCATATCGATAAAAAAAGAGTATAGTTTCTTTTGGAAAAATTGTGTCACGAATACTGTGTTTTGAATATATCATTCAATAATACCAGTCATTTGCATACATGGATTTTTTCTGTTTGTAATTTTAAATCATTATAACTGTAAACTATAGAGTAATATAAAAGTCAACATTAAATATTTTTCTTAAAAAAAAAAAATTTCACCAAACTATTCAAGCAAACTTCACTTGGAACAAAAGTAAACAATTGCATAAGCAATGAAACTATTTGCCAGACTTTGAAGATGGATGTCTGGATGTTAAATTGTTGAAAAAACATTTCAATAAAAAATGTCAGTAAAGTGCCATTTTGATTATGACACAAAATACTAAAGCTAATTATCAATCTATACTCAAGATCATTTTCACTCAAGCAGCCACAGCAATTGGACCACTTTGGCAGCGATGAACATTTGTCATGGAAGTGCACTCATCATCATCAGTTGAACCTCTTCAACAAAATGCGGTACAAAAATGAAATCTTCAGTCGCACCAGGTGCAATTTCTATTTACTTTTATGCATTTCACAATCATTTCAAATAAATTAATTAATACATTTGATTTGATTACTTCGATTTAGCGTAATCATTTTATTTTTATTTTTTATTTCAAATTTTAGGCGACGAACACTAAACATTATAAAAATTACAATGCAGAAAGTAGAAGAAGAAGGGATTCGCGGAGATAAAAAAAAATATTAAAAGATTTCTCCGTACACATTCATTCAAAATTATTGTAAAATTTCCTTGTAAATTGGTAAAATCGTCGTCATCGTCAGCAAAAAAGAAAAATTGAAGTCTTTCACATGTCATAAATTGTTGTTTTTTTCATCTCTATTTTCAATTTTGTGCAATGTTCATAGTACTGTTGACAGCATCATCTTCATTGTGCGCCATACGCCGCACTTCTTCGTTGCCTTTTTCTGCACACAGTAATGCCAGTTCTACTCCATGCTTGCCTCTGCTTGAGTGTTGTATATTATAAAGTAGCTGGGTATTAGCGTCAGCGATCGCGAATCAGTGGTGTGGATAGCCATACCACAGCATCAGTGGTAAGCAAACCGAACATCAGTAATATCTGTTCGTCTAGCATAATCAGTACTATAGTGTCTTCTGTGGTGACAGGAACATATTTGTGTGCATCTCTCTCGTCGTATAATTTTAACGGAATTCTTCGTGGGTAGAATTTTTTTTACCGTCGAAAAGGATCGATTTTTTTTTCATTAACTGTGTGATACAACTGTAAAGAAAAAGTTCAACGAATTTATTTGAATAGAAGCATTTTTAACAGAACGATATATCTGTTTCACAGTGAATAGTAGTGATTTTCATAAATTTGTTTCCACTTTGGATTAAATACTCACAATGCACTTGGTAAATATCAAAATTGTGAATTTTATTGATTGTAGTATGGAAAATGAATATTAATGTCGCTCGATTCAGTTTTTTTTGCTCTCTTATCGTGTTAAAATCACAATGAAATAAATAAACGTTCGTGCCTATTAATAAATACATTTATTTAAGATGTTTGACGAAAGCTTCGGCAAAAGGAAATCTATCTGTGGTTTCGCTTTCATTTTGAATTTTAAAATTTCAATTACTAAAATGATAATAATGCTATACTAATTTGCTGGAAGGTAATTTTCGATGTGATCACATACGCACCACCGACGAATCAACACATATTTATAATTCGTTGGCATTTGGTTTTTGTCTTTAATTGTATGGGACTTGAAACCATTTGATCTTCTTCTAGTCAATGATCGCTTGGTGTCTATAGCAAAGAAAGGCCATATACCATAACAGGTGGCCTTTTATTTCTTTTTTTTAAAGCTTCATTTCATTTCGCATTTTATCTCACATGAACGAAAACACGGTATATTCCACAAATTGATAGAGTGTCATTATTATTTGATAATTGCGCGCATACACTTCAATTTAAAGTCTTCGAAAAGACTTTCTTCGGCACAGAATTACTTTGTCGCTTGATGTGTGTTGACTGTCACACGCATACTATTTTCATTTCATTTCGTTTCGCATCCAAAATCATTTATAGATTAAGTGGATATAGCGATTGCAAATAATAATCCCATAGTGCTCTTGGACACTTTTATTTCTTACCGCAAATTCTCTTTGCTAATTATCTCAACACGAAATTGGCAAATCGAAATATATCCGGTGAATACATTCAACGGAAGGCACCATTTTTTTCGTGTCACTTCTAAAAAGTTCCCCTGATTCGGCAAAATGAAAAGAGAAGAAGAAAAAAAAACTGTGCGTCAGCTCATCAAGTGGCCACATTTTCATTAATTATTGCGAACGAAATAGTAATATCTACTCAAATTGCCACTTGCACATTGTCTATACTTATGGATTTGAGGCCATTGTCTATATATCATTTTATTTGAAATTTGACCAAATATCATATTTGTTGTTTGGAAGAGAAAGCCAGAGTTTTATTCTGCATTCCAAGCATGGTGTTTAATTTGATTTCGGTGTCGATTAACCCATTTTTTGGCGACTACTTTTGTTATTTGACATAGACTTTTCATTCCAAACGGAACCACATTCTCTTTTGCCCAAATGGTATTTTTTTTTTAATATTTCCGTCATTTTTCGATGATAATAGTTTTCCAGGCTATAATTCCAGAAATGTTTGGAACTTTAATCAGAGGAAAGTAGTGAACTGTTCGGATAGTGTCGTATGTGTTTGATATCGACGAAAAATGGGTTAACGAAAAGTAGATAAAAAAGATCAAGTTTTTCTTTGTTCAGATTTCAGGCTAAAAGTCGATCGCCTTGCATTATATAACCCAGACTCATTTCAGTTTCAATTTCAAACGCCGTTTTTGTTTGGATTCATTAAAAAAAATGCTGTAAAACCAGAGACAAGTCAAAGAGCAACATGTCTTTCAACTGGAGTACCCTATTGATGTGAGAATATTATCTAATAATTGTTGCATAGATTTGATTTGGTCCATGTACAGATGCCCGTAAAAAAACAAAACAACAAAAGAGAATTTCTATCTAAAAGAGAATTTCCACTTGAATGAACATTCCAAACATAATTTGGCGTTCAATTTAATTAAGTATAATTATTTACTTACAGCCTCAATTTTTTTTCTATTATACATTTCTTATTGTGGTCCGCAAGCATTATCGGTGGACTGCATTTTGGTTTTGTAAACTGGCGGCTACTTCGGTGAAAATTGTTTATTCTAGCTTTCAAGTACGTGAATGTGCACAAATGTTATGATCGAAGCTTGGCACTTTTTCGGCTACTCTCGGGTAACATAGTTCAATCAAGTTGATCTACTAAGCTATAATTCCGATGCTTGAATTTCGAAAGAAATTCACTTCGTTTCACTTTTAATTTTCGATTTTCATGATGAAATGCATTTTCTTCTCCACTTTTTTGTGCTTTTCTTTGTCGTCGTCTGTGAGTGCCTCCTGATTAAGCGTTGCTGAAAATGAGTTGCATCTGAAATATTCGTTGAGTGTGGGCTATGTAAGAATAAACACTCTTTCAAAGTTGTCCAAAATATGTATATTCCAGTGACAATGATTGCTGTATAATTGGAAAATCAAATCCAATTTTTATATGCCTGCAGATATATGTTGTCATTTAAAAAAAATGTCTCATTAAAAGCGTGATTGATGCGATAATTGCCAAATTTAAAAGCATCATAAAATCAAATAATGTCTATTCACACCTGGTATTCTTCGAAATGTTATTTTTTAGCATAAATATGTTAAAACTGTTACAAAGAGGGAAGAAATTATGTAAATTGTTTGAACAATTGCCATTAATTGAATTTGTCGTATTTTTCCTCGTTTTTTTTACTCTCATATGTGAGTTAATAATGAGAAATTTATATCACCATTTTGACATATAAACTTTCATTAGCAATTATAATTCATTTTCACCTTTATCTCATCGAATCACAATCCACTTTGCCTATTAGTACATCACTTAACTGTGTTAATTTAACATAATCAAATCGTAGATAAAACATCTTGAGTCTAAAGTTTTGATACAATCATTTCCATTGAGATTTTAAATACCATAGAATAAATACCGTACGCGATCAGTATATCATCAACAACATCATCATCATCAATTGCTGCAAAATATTGTTTGATGTTCAATTGAACGAGAGTGATGCGATGAATGCAAATGAAATGAAGATTTGTTCCGGTAGATATGTGTAAAATAGAGATTATGTACTGGTAAATTGGTTGGTAATTGTATCTGTGGTTGTACATTGTATGCTCTTAAAGAGAGCAATTTCTTTTGTTGGCATTATAGTTGAGTGTTTTGTTGTGGGGCATACTCAATGGGAAAAATATTAGAAAAGAATTTATGAAATATAAATAAATACATTGCAATATACGTGAATATACCATCACTTCAAGCATACGATGGAAAGCGGCAAATTTTCTATAGGAAGTTAATAAAAAAAAATACACATATAAATACTTTTCACATTAAAGAAAACCTCAACTGTGGTGCAGTTCGACTGATTACGTATATTCACATCTTGTTGTTGATGGGTTTTTGTTGTTGTTCATATTTGCTCATGGGCAAAATCCATGCACATCGTTTAAATAAAAACAATTAGAAGCGATTAACGCATTTTCGCCAAGTTATTTTGCAACTGAAATAATAAAAAAAAACACAACGAAAAGATGACATACTCGGCGATGCCACAAAAACTACGGAACACTTTGGACGCATTGTTTATACATCTGCCATACTGTACAATCTGAAAGGTGTGTAGATTTTGTCAGCTCGACACCTTCGACTCAAATTACGACATCTGTGCCATTACTCATTTCACACAATTCCACACCGTATACACCAGCACAATCTGAAATCCAACGCAAAATCGAAACAGACAAATAAAAAAATCTCATCCATTGTATGTATCTTAGCCAAGACCATGGTATCTCAACAGCTACATGCTTTTTTTCCCAACCATCTATCCATATTCCGTGGTGCCGATGCATTTGTAGTTGTGCATAATTTGCGAACAATGAAACTTACAATTAAAATTAGAATCGTTATGAATCGTGTGTAACTTTCGGTATAATATATGTTATGAATGATTTTTCTTTCCGTTTCAATCTATTATGCTTATTGCAGCTTATATTATTTATTTACTTTCAATATATATAAAGCCCAATGTTTCATTTTCGCATTGCAGCCAGTTTTTCTTTTTCTTCATTTCATTCCCGCTAACTGATGGAAATATTTTCCATTTAAAGTGAATAGATATTTGAGCGCAAAAAAGGCGGCAAGAAATGAAATTAAAAAAAAATGCACATAAACACACACAACTACTCTGGTTCGTCGGGTGCAAATTGAAAATATCCAAGAAAACACGACTCAACTTTGTTTTTATTGTGTAATCCGATTTATCATTGAAAATAAAAAGAAATAAACTCAATTCATCCCAGGCAACACTGGCAACCATACAAAATTGTTGTCGTGAATAAAACAATACAATTCAAAAAAAAAATACTGTCTCTTTAGAGCGCCACCACCATTACGGCACTGTAGTGAATAACCATAGTTATTAAAAATTCTTTCATATGAAAAATTGAATTTATTTCACAGCTTCTCTCCTTGCTTCAACATTTTTCGAAGTGACTGCCACACCATAATTTATGTATGCGTTTTAAAAACCAAATAATGTGCACGACTAAACCTGCGTAAATTGCGTTGGTATTGTTTTTCCTTTGTCCATGTTTAAATTTAATTTATGATGACGCAGCAATTATTTGTAAAATGTACACCTATTCAATGCATTGTTCGGTGAAATGGATCATCTCGCCAAAACAACAGAAATTCATGTTTGGAAAATAAAAATAATAGATTTTAGTTTTCAAACAACGTTGGCCATCAATTTAGAAAATATCTCATATTTGCTCATGACTGCAATAATTCCATAGCATTTGAATTCGGAAAACATAATCAATATCAATGTTGTCAATCATCCGACGATGGGAGCATTCTAACGGCTTGAAATTTGGGTTTGCGCGAAATTGGTGATCGTTTTCCTATTTTGAAGGAAATATGGTTATAATTACAGTGCGTAACCTACCGCAATGAATCTTGTTTAATATGTCATCTTCATAAATACATTCAATGTTCGGTGTTTGCTATTCTCAACTGGAATTTAAATAAGAAATGGCGATCGGTTTCATTTTGGCAGACACATTAAGAAAACGATCAGTGTATCGATGAAAGAAGAGAAAACATAAAATGTTACCGCGTCGAAAAGCAGACAAATGAAAATATACAGATTTGTTGTTATATGCGTAAATATTTGATTTTCAATACAAACCATGTTTATAACATAGATGAACAA